GCTAGCTATTAGCTTAAGAAAAAGGACCTCCTCACTGGATTCTGATTAGCTGTTCATGGCTAAAGGTAGTTGCTAGCCAAGCTAGGTACTACTTAAATAGCTTTTAGCTTAAAGTCGTAGGAAAGCGGCTGTTCCAACCGTTGCATTTCCAAATTCTCCCAAATGGTGCCCGACTTTACAAGAGTGAATAAAGTGAATGTGATTGATCATGTATCAAGGGGGCGGGACTGTTGTGGTGGAAGGTTCGCAAGCAAATTTGGTTGTGGCTGGTGTCTCAGAAGCATCTTTCTAACCAGTTAGCAACTTAGTGCTAGCAGGTTCTCAATGGGAAATTACATTGGGACCAAGTAGCACTAAATTGGTGACTTAGAAACGACGCTGTCAAGGAACGCTATGGACAGCGGAAACATGCAAGAGGAGGAGAGTTTTGTGTCAGAGGTCTTGGATGAGTCTCCTCCGTCATAACTTTTTTATTTAGAGGAGGAAAGCAGGACGAAGATGTTGTGGAAGAGGACGCCAGGGCGGCAGAAGCCTGGTTTGGTGTAGAAGGCTTACAGCCGTACATGTTTGAGCCCTTGCCTCGCAACGCTGCCAGTTCTGTTAGCTCTACGCCTGCCGAAGACACAGACGTCCATTCCCGACAGAAGAAATTTGATTGACACATGACCTTGGCTATATGATTGGCCGAATTTAAGGTGTACACGCTGACATATATCTAACTGGCCTGCATAAGATAACGAAAAAACCCCACAGATTTCAGGACAGGATTCTTTTAAAAATAGAAATGTTCTGACATTTGAGTACATTTATATACATTTTAAAGCCAGAATGATTTGACATTTAAATATGATTTCCCTTCTGCTTTAGCTAACAAATTTGGAGCCTGTCACTACCTGATCCGTCCTGCGCATGCACAAACAGAACAACTTTCGGGTAGGCAATACTTAATTTTTTGTCTTTTTCTGGCAGGGGGGTTCCTTCTGAATATTTTTTTGCATTTGCGTAAACATTGATTGTTCTAAAAACAAAACAAAAAAGCAATACACTTTGAAATAACCTTTTGAACATTACTGTGACTGCTCTGAGCATGTCCGATGATGATGTCACGCAATACAATGGAGAGAATCTAAAACGGCCATTTTTTCCAGAAAAGTCTTCAATATTTTCTATACAATATAGTTTAGCAGTCTTTAATGTTTTAAGTGTATAAATAAGTATTTTCAGTACCATTATGTCGTTTTTCAGCGATCCGGATCTTGTTATTCTGTTCACGCATGCGCAGGACGCATCATGCTTTCAGGACAGATCGGGAAGTGACAGAGCGCTTAGCTGGTTTCTGAGTAGTAGTTTTTTTTTTACAGATAAGCTATATCTTCATGCTAGCTGGGTTACAGATAGCTTAAATAGTAAATCCAATTATTTTTCAACCGTTTTGCCTTTTATGTTGCAGAGAATTGTTTGACTATTTTCAGCTGAAACAAAGAATACTGTGGTCTAATCCTCTTAAAATATGTAGCGGTTGCCGCCTTACTCGTTTGTTCAGTACTAACCATAGCGATCCAGAGGACGATGTGTTCGTCAATGAAGCTGTTAAAGTACTGGTTGAGGAAGAGGAGGCCAGGTCCGATGAAGGCTGTGTCTGGAAGATGTAATTCGCTCCTGGTCATGTGCGCTATCTACACATGAGATAAATAACATTTTAGAAATAAAATAGGGATCTAATAACAGCTTTTGCTTTTTTATGTCGATCTCAAAGCATCAGGCTTACCACTAGCTTGTTGGAGATCTTGGAGATGACCATGCCGAAGGTTAGCAGGTACAGACAGGGGTGGTGTTCAAACAGATGGCTGGAGGACTTCTTGAAAATGATGAAGGCCAGCGTGAGGACAAGGCCGATGTGAAGACCAGGAGTTAAGACGCTGGTGTCCTAAACAGAGAGAGGTTATTAGCATCAATACAGAATATATAAATGCACATGTAGGACACCACTTACAGCCACAGTAGAGCCGTTCTTTCCAACTCCTCCATTCAGAATCACATAGAAGTAGTTGTAGCAGGAGTACAAGGCGCCGCCGATGATGCCCAAGATGGGGAAAACGTTCAGCTGCACTCCTATAACAGGCAACTATAGAAACGCAGAAGGATGGAATCAATCGGATGAAAAACGTTCCCTTAAACGCGAGCTGCAGCATGCTGAGCGTGATGGCAGCACAAAGCAAAGAAAAAGGAAAAGAACAAAAACAAAAATGCAGGTGACATCATCAGCTTTTTGAGCCAGATCATGTCCGACAGATGACCTGCTGGCACGGCGTTTCCTACCTATATTTACCTTCGCACTTCTCTCAAGTGATGTAAAGTCAAGCCTCCAAAGGCAGCAAAGAGTGAAAGTAAAACACAAATTCTATTTAAAAGCTAGAAAAAAAAAACTAAAACTAGAAAGGCATGAACTGTTCTTGACTCAGGTGACATGAAAACATCCCTGCGTGCCTATAATGTTTTTGCATGTGAGAAAAAAAAAAAGAGTGAAGTTTTCAATTACCATAGTTTCCCAAAGGCTCACACCCCCAAAAGCAGACATCAGGTACATGATTATGATGGCAATCTGCACCTCTGTGACGTCGACTCTGTGAAGAGAAAGAAAGGGGGAAGTTTTTGTTAGCAAAATGCATTATTTTTTTATGCTTTCCTGTAACATGCATGATCTTTTTGCTAAAAAT